TTAAGTGTTGTATGCTAGTATTACACTATTGTATGCGTTAGTAGTTATTTATATAATGTACACAAATAATTTCATACACACACACACACACACACACACATACATACATACATTGGTACACAGATGTATCTATTGTGCTTGCTTGCTTTTTATGCGTGTTTCAACATTGCTTTTTTATGCATGCGTTTGTTTGTTAGTTGTACACTGCTGCTCTCATGTAACTCTAAACTATCCCAATGAATTAATTGTCATAAATTTGTAATATAATCGTTGTTGTTTGTGGGCAATTGTTTGTGCGCGTGTATGTGTGCTTGCATAGTGTTGCAATTTGTTAAAAGTTTATTAAGAAACAATAACCAAGATAATAGTACTAAAAGAAAGAAAAAAAAAAAAAAATAAATAAATAAAGAAATAATTGAAAAAAATTTTCTTAATAATGAGATTTAATGTCATGTTTAAGTTTAAAACTTGTAATGCAGTTCCAGTAACAATTGTTTTATGACTACAAGCAATAAGAAGGCCAGCTGATAAGTTCTAAGCTATATAATATAAATTAGCTTAATGGGTTATTTGCGAATGAATGCGGTACGTGCTCTGTAAAAGTATCGCCAAGGTATCTTTTTAAAGTTTCGTGCAAAATATGTTGCCATAATTATACGTTATACTACTTTTTCTTAAGACTATTATAGATTTGTGAAGAAGTGTGCCACCTTGATAAGATCATATTTTGAATCCCCTTCATATGTAATATCTCTTATCAGCTTATTGCGAATAAGATGAAAATTGATATAAAACAGCAATGGGACCAATATGTATATTGATAGTTAAGTGATAAACCACATGAGCCGCTCCTAGTATATTCCTTATATATAATATATAATGGTATTCTCATGAAATATGAATCTTTATATGGCAGCCATATATAAATTTTCTTTTTTTTATGCGAAGGAGCGTCTTTTCCCTACCATTCTTTTGTTTATTTCTTCTAAAGTTTCTATAGCTGCTAGATTTAGATTTACAGACACGGAGAGACGCTTGAGTTAAGATTTGAATGCAATTTCTCACAAAATATGATAAAATCCTTTGTGCCCTTAATCATGATTATAGCGCTTGTAAGAGTACATTAGGTAAACGAAGAGTTTGCCTTAACTCTTAAGCAAATATAGGCAAAACTTGAAATATTATAAATTCGTAATCTTTCACGAGTTGTTGGTTGACATTAGGGTGACGAGTGAATTTGTTGATGAGAAACGCAAACGTGTGAAATTGCAGAATGATGTTCAGAGCATTTCATATCCAGGGACGATCGCGGTAAAAACTGAATATCTCTCTTTATAACTGTCCGTCCGTTTTAGCCAAACACTGGACTATCCCCGCGTTAATAAAATCAAAAAGCAAGGGTATCTTAAACAGTATTCTCATTTCTAAATACGGTTACTATTTAAAGGAGTATGGTTAGTTTACTTACTTACTTACTTACTTGCGTGATTCTAGCATGACCAGCGATGAAATCTTTCACATGCGCTAAGCAATTATTATCTTCTTATGTTTTAAGGAATATATACATGGCATGCTCCATTAACCGGCTTTATATGTTTTGGCAATTATTTCTAGCATGACTGGTTGCTTGCCTATTGTTCGGCAGGGTCATCTAAAATTTCTCATATTAATTATTTCTCTTCTTTTAGTTTAACGAGAAACAATTGAAAAACAATTGCATGCAAACGATATTTATGCAATTATTGTATATTGATACCTTAAGACGAATGTTGAACGCCTATCGTGTAGAGTCAAACTTTGTACTAAGTTTTATTTTACTGAATTCTTCCCCCCATACTTGCAGTGCGAGCAAGCGGGTAACAGTGCGTATAAGTAATTTAACGCACAATAATACCTTGCGATTTTTGTCGAGTTAGCTTCCTTGGGCCAAACCTTTAGTGGAGTTAAGTACTTTAAGCCAATACCATAGCGTAGGGGCATCGTGTTAGGTAACCATGTCCTCACCCATTTGATTATCTTCAAGTTTTAATTAAAATATACAAATTTCTAGTGAGCAGTTTCTCCGATAAATTAAACTTATCAATTCTATGGCGGATTTTCAAACGATTTCGCCAAAGTAAGAAAAAGAAAAAAATTTAAAGCGACCCTTTTTTATTCTTAACTCAATAGAATCTCAGTAGAAGAAATTCAACTCAGGCTTGGTGTGCGGCAGGTGCGAGGGAAAAAAGATTATCTTTCGAGAGTCGTCACACATTTGCTTTGTTGTTAAAACAAATCTGAAGAGAATTTTTTTTGCATTTTCATACGTAAAAGAACCCGTACGATGCTAAAAAATCTTCCAATTTTCTTTAAGTAAATCAAAAAAAAAAAAAAAAATTCATCCTACCCTTCGTAGGTAATATAACACTTGATAAGTCAGAGAAAAGAAAGGGAACAAAATTAAACACTTTTGCTGAACATCTCTGCAAAATAACCGGACGGACAGATAGACTGGCAAGAAGAACTATAGCAAAAATAACAAAAGGAAAAATCTTTAACGCACTTACGGTTATTCGTTTTTTCTCTTTAACATTCTAATGGCCATTTATTTAAAATATATTTGTAAGAAATTGTTTACGTATTCAAAACATTTAATTGCATAACATTTGAATAAAAATTTTCTTTATTTAAGTAATACTAAGAAATTGATACTCAATTTGGGCGGATTAGAATACTTCAAGAGGAAAAAAAAATTTCTTTATTTGCATACACAGTATGTGCACAACAATTAATATCCATACCAAGGAAATCTTTCTTGATATTTGTATGGCAAACTTCGAAAACATGCCAAATTTTCTTATGTCGTTTGCAACCATTAGAAGTCACAGGTCTATGAAAATGTTTGTTTGTATTAAGCGACTAAGTTTAGTCCTATCACTTCTTCTTCTTCTTCTTCTTCTGAAGGGGTCCCCTTTCGCGCGGTAGTTTTTGTTTGTACGGTATTCTTAGGCACTTCGTTTTCAAGCATCCACATATAGATTTTTTTTACACGGTCTTTTTTATGCGAAAATCACGCGCATTTTTTACGCGAGGTTTCATTAAATACACGAATACTTGTGGGATCCTTAACGTCCACTTACAGTTGAATTAGGAATTTAGCATACACTCATATATGTGTGCACCGCTCTGTTTTTAAAAAAGGTCTTGTTGTCTTCTTCTGGTTTTTTGTTTACTGTTTTTATTTGAAATTTTAAATGTGACCTACGTATGTATGCACATAACTGTATGGATAATTTACATAAACTCATTTATTTTAGATTTGTTGGCAATCGAAAGAAACGTAGAAAAGCAACAACAAAAATAAATCATACTTTGTTAAGTGAATTGTACGGACAGAAGAACAGAAACAGGAAATGCTTAAACCTATAATAAAGGTTGCCATTAACAATGTTTTTCAAGCATAAACAGCAATAATTGTGAGAAAATTGTAAAACAAACTGGTAAATATGTAAACAAGCCAACGTATTAATTTATTATTAACACGAATCGTTTTTCTTCTTCTTTAACTTCAATAATATAATATGTCATTCCGGTTAATAAAATATCGTTCAATTAATCTCCGTAACATTAAAGCTAGTAAGTAAGTGCTCTGGTCAAAACAATCCGCAACTACTTTTTCATTTTTCCAAGAAGAATAATTATATAACATTTAGTTTATTTCATATATCGTTTAGTTTATTTCATATATATATATATATATATATATATATATATATATATATATATAGGTTGAATTGCAAGCGCGTGCTCACTAATTAAATCGTTTTATTTATGTTTTAATAAAAGCTTGTCTTGTGACATCCTTCTGCGAGAACCCAGTAGCCATAATCTCTTTAAAGCGTTGGATTGCATCTGCAAACCAGAAACCAGTGGCCATAATCTCTTTGATTATTTACTTGCGTAATACTTGCAGTGAGAGATGAATAATAAACCGATGTTCGACCCTCTGGTAGTTCCTAGTTGATGTGGAAACCAACCATATATCAACTTTTAGTACAATTAGGTCAAATTTGCTTACAAACATGCTTACCACCACAGTAGAACGTGGACTCACCTTTGGTATTTCCTTCTTAGTTAAGTTAATAAATGATGCTTGGCGATGCGTCCGACGGTTTTTTTTTTTTTTACATCACTCAAACGGCGCATATCTTCAAAGTAATACACCTTACCGACTGTACGAGTTTCCAGCGAGAACCCACAATGCACGACGCCATTGTAATCGAAGAAAACAATGAGCAATGAGGAGCGGGCACCCGACCGTTTCCTTTGGGATGATTGGGTTTTGGTCTCTGGATTGTCGTTGGTTCCATTTAAAAGCTTTTGAGCGATGCTCATGCGAAGGTCCGAAAAAAATGCGTGGCTTGAGCCAGCCGATATGCCGACAGTTTCAGCAACTTCTCTAATAGTGGTTCGATTAATCTCCATAACGTGTTCACGTGCTAGGGCGTCCAGGGCAGGCAAGTACGTCGTTCACATTTTCTCGGCCTTCTGTGAAGGCCTTATAACACGTATTTAAAACAGTCACCCATTGCTACGGTCAACATTTGAAGTGAGCTGATCCAGCCTTTATATATGTCGAGAGCAAATTAAACTTGGGAAATGACTGACTGGGTGTGACAACACAACAAACACATAAGTAAATGAATGTACTTAGCCCGCGAAATTTCAAAAGTCAGCCTTCTTTTGAACGTACCTCGTATATGGGCTAGTTTGAATAACTTGGATTCAAATGCTTTCTGATTTCTTCTTCTGATTCGCACTCTATTTTATTCATCGTAAATTAGTTGTGAATCATGTGCTGTAATTAATTTGCATTGTTGTTTGAAAGAAACTAAAACTAAAAACATTCTCTTGCATTAAGAAAATGAAAATTCTATTATTTTTCTTGAAAGCTTACGTTCCAAGTTTTATGATTTATTTAATTGCAATATTACATTTTTCCATTTTCTCTCTCTTTACAGGTATTAATCAATTCGCCATCGAAAGCGATCGAAGACAGCGCTTGCGTTGGAGACACAAAACAAAAGCGAAATGCATTTAAAATTAAAATTAATGTCACTTAATTTCTGTTTTATTTATTTATTATTTTTTTTTGTTTTTTGTTCGTAATGTTGTTTTTTGTTGTTTGTCTAAAATGAAAAGTTGGTCTGTAGGTCAATAGCTAGATGATTCCTTAATGCAAAGTTGTTAAACCATAAAAACGTGTGTAAAGAAAAAATGAAAGTAAAATTGAAGAAAAAAAAATTGAAAAAAATCTCAATATCGTTAAATGAAAGCAAAAGGAAAAGAAATGCGCAGGAAAATAAAAAAGTGTGAAAAAATTTAAATTAACTACAACTTAATAATGAAAAGATAAATATCTCGAAAATAACTCGTATAGCATTAATGGCATTGTATGTATGCATTTATGTATATATGTATGCATGCATGTTATATACATACATATGTTTAAACATCTGATGACTATAGCAGCAATAACTTTTGAAAATTGATTATTAACACCACGAGCCAGAAGCAGCAGCAGCAGCAGTAGCATCTACATCAGCAATAATAATACTAACAATAACAATAACAACAACAACAACAACAACAACAAAAGCAAAAACGAAAACAACACCAAATTCTCATCACTAATCTATGTTATGTTTTTATGCTTGTGCTTATGTATGTAACATAATAATAACTATGAATTGGATTATTGTGGCCATAGTGTTGCTAATGACTCATAAAGAGTATATGGCCAGTCCGACGCCCCTTAAACTACCAGGTAAGTGTTAAACACTGCATTATAATTCGTATTCAGCTATATCTATATACCTTGATTCTTAAATACATATACATAAATGAATAGCTATATGCGTCAAAAAAGTATCAGGAATCATTTTTTCCGATACTGAGAAAACAACGCTTCATTTCATTTTGAATTAATCAATAGTCCAGGGGCTCGTATTAATTAATTCAGTAAATTGTTTTTCCGTTCATTATGTCTACACCCACGAACGCGGGATCAGCTTATAACAGTTACACTGAGCCTTCAGAGACTGCATAAAGCATATATATTCTCGATCAACATTAAATCTTAGTTCGATTTAAGTCCGTCCATTTGTCGGTCTGCCCATCTGTGTAATTTCTATGGTAAACAATGTTCCGCTTCAAAATTAACAAAAACACAAGTTCTTGCACGTAGCTTGATATTGAAGTGGGCCATGGGAGGCGCCTGCAGCACAACGTAAAGAGGGAATAACTCTACTTTCTGAACCCTTTGCCCTTATTACTTTTAGATAGCAATAGGCACACATATATTCCACAAAAATGAAAATAATCAGTGACGGTTATCTAATGTTACATATTCGCATCAGTAGTCGAGTAGGCAGGTCAATCTTTGCAGATTTAATTCTTAGAGCGTTAGACTTCGTTCGAGGCTATAGTGAGTGCTCCGTCGTAAAAGGCGTAATACCTACCACATCCCCTAGGCTATGGATAGCTCCCTCTTTCCCTCTCTTCATTTCTTTCTCATCGTCATCGTGTTGGCCGAAGTGATGAGCGTCAACCACAATAAAAAAAATCCCATTTTATGGAGTATGGAAATTAAACTTTTTTTTTTTTTTTTTCTGTTCGGGTATTTTTGGAGCACGATTTGTAGATGGATCAATCGACAAAGCTAAATCGACTTGGAATCTTGCCACGTCAGTGTGTTGCAACATGATATTTCATGATCATATTTAAGTTCTTACATTGCGTCGCAAAAGGAGTTATCTCCTGGTATTTAAAACTTTCATTCGTAGCATTTGATATTCGATATTGTTATGAGAAACCTTACAGTTCTTTGTTCTCTTTTCCTGCCCAGGAATTTCTAATACAAAACCCTACAGCAATGTCCTCGTATTTGTTTTTCCCACCAGTCTGCACGGTCTTTGTTTTTCCGAAAGCTCAAATAAAGCTGGAAACCTGACAAATTGTTTGTGCTTCCGCATAAAGTGAATGGAGGCAATATTCGGAAATTAAATTTTGAGGCTTATCTACGCAAATGTATTTATTTTTAATAATTTCGCGCACTTTCCTCATAAGCTATACGATGCGAGTATATATGAAAAACTCGAAATCACAATTAGGAGCGAAACTCTAGCGGACACGTTTGCGAAGATTTCACAAACAAAGAAAATCTATTCGTTTTCCGCGTGCTTTGTGTTCTCAGCGCATTCATTGAAACGTTAAAAATGAAAAATAAATTCAATTATGAAAGAAGTGAGACTGAAAAAAAAAAAAAAAAAAACTGAATCGATATTTATTTATTATTATTTAGTTTTTGTTTATTTTAAATTTCGGGCAAAAAAAATTTAATATATTTTAGTTCGAGTTGTTTCTGTTTGTGTTTTGTTCTCGTTTGGTTTTTTTTTTTTTTTTCCATTAACATTTTTTCTCCTTTTTAAGCTAACAATGGAAGCAAACTTGTTCAATTATTCTTCCTTCTGTGGAAAATATTTAATTGCGACGTTTTTTTATACAAATGTACATATTAGGTTGACCTGTAGAAAATGCGCAGCGTTTTCTTTTCCATAAACCGTACAAAGTAATGGTTAATATTTTGTTTTTTTTTTTTTCTCGGTTAATATTCGCTTGAAGCTTAAATTAGTCAGATCAGATGTTATGATCATAAACAAAAAAAAAAAAAAAATAACGCGGCTTTCGTAGTTTGTTTCTTCAGAACACAACATTGAATCGAAATCTGGCAGTCTTTCGCTCGCTTCATAATATTATTAAAGGGACTGTGTCTCGAAACTGTTTCTATGCCCTTTCAATAGGTAGTTCTTTCGAGGAATTACATAGTCATGTAGCCGACAGATTACGGTGTTAGCAACCAATGTCCAAGTTTGAAAAATCTCGCATCTTGACGTCGCACTAGTATAGTCTATGCTAAATAATCTATCCAATGTTAAGGACCATCCAGGCTCGATACTGATAGAAGCAAGAATTCATGGACGCAAAAATATACTCTGCATTCGTAAGTAACGCTACACTACTCGTGGATAAGATTCATCTAATCCGTCTTAGAAAGTTTGCGGAATACCAAATATTTGCTTATGATATTTAAAACTGACAATGAGGATATCTTTAGAGAGTTAGATGAAGAGCGGACGTAAAAATTGGCCGAATGCAAACATGTAGAGTAAACGCGAACATGCCTAGACATCAGACAGAGGGATGGACAGGCAGACATGCTTAAACGAATTTAGAAAATGGTTTTGAAACAACTGATACGAAAAAGGGATGCGTCTATCTCAAGTCTATCCCGCGTAAATTCAATATATTAATTTATTGACCAACATAGTGCAGGATCTAAAAAAACAAACTTGTGAGGATGATTGGCAAGTCTTGAGCGTTGGTGTACTTAACAAAACTATATGAAATTTCGTCTCTTAAGAAGTGAACAGGTTCGGAAAGTTAACAATATAAAAAAGCAAATTTGTAATGTTTTTCGAGGTAAGCCAGCCAGCCAGCCCTACTACTACTACTACTAATTGAAGACTGTTCTCATTAATTTCACATTATTTTATATATTAATCGATAAAAATTAGCGAAATTTTAAACGATATAAACCTTTCACTCGTAAATTCTTTCGAGGTGACCGCAGACTTTCAAGTCGAGTAAACATTTTACCGCGCTGTGCTAATATTGCGCTTCACTGCATTCGCATATACAATCATATATTTGCAATTTCAATGTCACATATTATTGATTTGTTTTGGCATTGCTAAGCTTTTGCAATTTCTTTGTTTTCCACTTTTTTTTTTGGTGCTTTTTTTTTAATATCTTTTTTTTTTTTTTTTTTTTTTGCGTTTTTTTGTTCATACAGTTAAGGTGAAATTTGTCAAATTGGTTTTTGTTTGCTTTGTTGCTTCGCAGCCATAACTATGTTAGGAGACCGTATTATACACAGATATATATGTATATATATATATATATATATATATATATATATATATTTGTCTTATTTGCAATTCCTAATCCAAGGTAAACGTACGTATGTACGCATAACTGGTTACACATGCATTTTAGTTAAATGTATTGATATATAAGTCCAAGTAAATCTCTGCTGATTATTATATCTATCACAGGTGGCATAATAGATACGTCAAACGTTTGTGCGACGCATCGGAATAATTATCACGGTGTAGGCTCTATAAGTTAGATGTATTCTTCTGCCCATATAATGAAGCGTGAACGTTTGGGGTCTGGGATTTTTTTTTTTTTTTTTTGTTTGCATCGTCAGTTAAAATTAAAAACAAATCATTTTGGAATTGATTTTTAGATATACTGTCACTTAGTAAAGATTGGAAAATAGAAAAATGTATATCTCGTATATATTGGTAGCCTAATAGCTATTATCACTCATGAGTTTTAGTGAGTAAATGCTGGAATACCGTGCTTGCATGTATGTGTACATCGTAATGAGGTAATGGGATGCGCTTATGCATACGTAGCTGCTGCACTCGCTGGCAACGATGCCTTATAATTAAGATGAAAACTCGCCAAAGCATTTTAATTTCGAAATTTCTTATAAACAAGTGTGAGAGAAAATTCGATCTAAGCTAAGCACAATTTCCTTAAATGCCCTACATCGATTAAAGGTCGTATTCAAAGTTTTGCCAGATCTAGGAATATATAAGAGTATAAGAGATAAGGTCACGTTTTGTTATACAAACGCATTCAGACTCATTTTCTAAATAGATTTAAACCTGTTTGCCCATCTGTCCGTCTGTCCGTTAGGTGAAAGTTCATGTATGATATCGTTAAACCGCGAGGATGCATTTTTCGAGATATCTTGATGAAAAGTCATACGTTGACATACTTCGACCGAAGGACGCATTGAAAACAGACTCGGATGGGTTTTTGCATTTGCTCCCCATATAATGTTTATTTCACACCAGTCGTTACATAAAACAAGTTTGGCAATTTTTTATATTCCTCGACAGAAATCCATGACGAGTAATATTTTGTTAGAAATGCGGAAAATTTGGTTGGAATGTCGTCATTTTCTGGCGACTCAGCCTTCAAAAAACAGGTTCTTTTTACAGCAAGAGAATTAACATTTTATCATTTTGCGATGAAAATTGGCTCTGAATGATGACATGACCTCCAATATTATTACAGTAAGCTCGCACTGGATGGAGGGGTTTTTTTGTGCAACTTTACCATATGAACCGTATGAATATGAATAAAAAATAGGGTTTCAAGCGCGGGTGAAGAGGAATTTTAGAAGATGAACTTGTGCAGGGTAATGCATAGTCGGCGTCTTATTCGAGTGTAATCTTTTAACTTGTTTATCTTTATTTTTGTATGGGTTTTCTCTTCAATAGTCAAGGTCTTTGGCAGGGTTGGCGACTTTATGGCTTTCTTACTTAGTTTTATTGTTTACATCTTCATTGAATTATTCCGCTGACGTTACATAATTTAACGTAATAAGTCGATTGGAAGGACGCCAAATTATTTTATTTTGATAAATCAAAAAATGGAAGAAACGTTAGGAACGCAACTGAACGTGAAGTTTTGCCAAAATAATGAAATTAAATCAATTTTTCTAGCAAAAGCCTACTTTGCCCAAATGTAGATCTTTCTTTTCCTGTAAAGCCTATGATAGTATTCGCATGCGATAGATTGGCGAGATCTGGTCCCTTAATTAAATTAAATCAGCTGTGGATAGAGCCTGGTAAAGTGTTTTGAAGCAGTTTGACGGACGAACCTTATTCAAAATGGACTGGATCGGGT